CCCGTTAGGTTTTTGAGGTGGGTGTTGGAGTTTCTCTGGGTTGTGGGATCTTTCCAATGTCTACAAGTGGTTGTAGAAGCATCATGTTTGTTTTCCCCCTCACCGCTTGTTCCTCCAGAAATCCCTGTTTGAGAGGGGGAAGGAGTCCCTGGAATCGGAATTCCGCAACCTGTTGACGCGATGCACCAAGCCAGTTCCACCCATCCTCATCCTGGACCACCTCGGTGGGGATGATGAGATTGAAACACAGGAAGAGATGCCGTTGAACCAGCTCCCTGAGAACACCTTGAAAGACATCATCAGCATCTCTCGCTGGCTGGTGGAGTTTGGAAGAAACCAAGGTAAATTTTAAAGCTAACCATTGCGTGAACCAATTGCATGTCATTCTTGATCATTCCAATGGTCTCCTTCACCCATGTCTGCCATGCTCCTGGAGCCTACCCAGTCTGTGGAGGATGATCCATATCTCTCCTAAAGCCAGCTAGTAGGCCATCACACTCCAGTCTTCTCGTCTTGCTCCCAACCAGCAGCAGTGGTGCCCACTTGCCTGCCTGCCTGGTATGGCATGCCACTGTGTGTGCCCACTGGACTCTGCTCTGGGACTTTTGACCAGTTGGCTGGGACTGGAGTACAGAAGCCTGCACTGTCCTGGTTTGCCTGCGATGTATGGTCACCCTAGTCGCATCTCCTCAGTATGCAAGTCTGTATTTCATAGTAGCTCTTCAGCTAAAGAGCCAAGAGATCTTGCTGCCATTGGTAGCTGACAAAGAACTGCAGGCAGGAAAACAAAATTTGGGATTAGTCTTTTGGAGGCATGTTTAGGGAACAGTTTAGATCCAATTCCTTATAAATCGTCCCCTTTTTCTTCATTTAACTCTGTGTTTGTATACTATTTATAGTAACCCTTTGGAGCTTACAGTTGATCGTTTCCTCCACTCAGAATCCAGCCCTTTAAATATATTCTTAGACTTTTTTTATACGGTTGATCAATCCTGGTGCCTTCCTCAGTGCCCTGGTGTCTTTTTTTTCTTTTAAGAGAAATTGGAAGCTTAGGCCTCAGTTCTGCAAGGATGCATGCATCTGCTTAGTTACATGCCCATAGTTGGTGTTTTTATTTTATATATTTCTGGTATCAGACCATTTGCAGGTGTAAAATCACTTACTTGAATAGTTTTCAGGGAAGAGAGAGCAAGGCACATCCAGTACTTGGAGTAGAGGAGGGTTTGTGTGGAGAGGAACAGTTCCCAGCCATGTCCAGCAGGGAGTTGTAAAAGAGAGCTCTGGCAGGGATGGGGAAAAAATCTCTGGGGTCTGGAGACAAGGGTGCAGCTAAACAGTGGGTTGGAGGTTAGCGCACAAAGCAGCTTTGCAGCAGCTCAGATACTTATGCCCCTAGTCTCTTCCGTTGGACTCCATTCCCCATTCTTCACACTGGTGGTGTGCATGTGTGCCATTGTAGAAGTTGATGAACTGAAGAAGTGGCCCCTCAGTGTTGCTAATTTTAAGATTTTTCTAAACATCTCTGCCACCTTTAAACATCTCTATTTCCCCCCACCTTTTTTTCTTCTAAGCCAGGATTTTCCAAGCCCACATAATAACAGGGCTTGGCTACTAGGGCTGTGCAAAGCTTCAGTCCCTGATTCAATTCGGCGGCTGAATATACAAATCCGTATTGAATCGGAGGACCCTTTAATCTCTCTGAATCAAATTGGAACCCTCCAAACTGATTCAGAGAGATTCAGAAAGATTCGAAGATTCAGATGTAGAGACAGCTTTAAATGTTTTTTTCCTACATATCTCAAGGTAGCAGGTGGCTCGTGAACACTGCAATGCTGGGGCTCATGGAGCACTCCTGGTCCACTTCCGGGTCCTCCAGGGAGCACGCAGGGGGCTCCCTGCACCCGCCCGGCTCGGTGACTGGTGCGTCCTGCACCTGGGGGGGCACCTGGGGTCCCCCTGCAGCCAATTGCTGAACTGGGAGGGTGCAGGGGACCCCCCCCCCGCCAGCACACTCCCTGGCAAACCTGGAAGTGGGCCAGAGTAATTCTGGTCCACTTCCAGATTCGCCACCAAGGACATGGAGGGCCCCCCACCCCCACTCCTGTGGGACGCTCCATGCGCCCCAGCATAGCAGCATTCACAAGCCTCACTGCTACCTCGTGGTATGTAGAAAAAGCTTTTAAAGCTGTGTCTAGGTCTGAATCGGCATCGAATCTTCAAATTTGGACTCGGCCGAATCGAATCAGGAACAGTGATCTGAATCAGCTAATTGAATCGCTGTCCCTGATTTGGGCTGAATCCGAATCGAATAGGGCCTGCTTCGCACACCCCTATTGGCTACCGTATGAACTTGAGCTTTCATAGGCAATGACCTTCTTTGTCCGATCTGACAAAATAGTTGTTACCTGTGAAAAAGTTATGCCTCTCTGAACCATATAATCTGAAGTCAGGCAGAAGGTAGGGCACAGTGTCAATGTAAAGACTAATACAGCTAACTGCCTCCCTATTAACTTGGTAATTGGTGGCAAACCTGCATTTCAGTGTGCGGTTATAGCAACCGTGCAGTGCATTAAGCATGTTCACAGGCTTTGTGAGACGAGTAATGCACAGGGTTAAACTGTCACGTTGTCCATCCTGATGTGAGCCAAAGGGGTATGGTGATAGTGTATTTTTCCCATCTATCTTCATTTTCTCCAGTCTCAAGTCTTACCTAGCAGATCTGTAAGCAGGGGCTTTCAGAAGGGAACTGACCTCTTCTTAATTGGGGTCCCTCATGGATGGACCATGGTTTGGGAAAAGGTCCAGCAATAACATCCTCACTGTGTAGGAAACACTTTGATTTCTGGTCCCAATCTAACTTCTGTCTTGTCTCCTTAGACTTCATGAACGTTTACTACCAAATCCGCTCTAGCCAGCTTGACCGATCCATCAAAGGGCTGAAAGAGCATTTCCGGAAGAACAGCTCCTCCTCAGGGGTCCCCTACTCCCCTGCCATCCAGAACAAGAGGAAGGATACACCCACCAAAAAGCCCATCAAGAGACCAGGTGACTCCTACACCAAGGGTCAACCTCTCATGCTAAAATACAGCCCCCTTCCCCTCCCTTTCCCCCAGAGTATTGTTTTGTTAGTTCATAATGGGTTTATTCCTCTGACCAAAACTTTCCTCAGGGCTAGCCATTTCCTCAGAGTCCTAAGTCTTTGTGAAGGCAGCAGAACAGATTTAAAGAACAAACACTTTTCCACTTAATTAGGAATTTCATGAAGTTTAGCTTCTAGATCATAGGCCATCCTTCATTTCTCAGTTTGTTAGCTCACCTGGTCTGCCTCCCAGGGTGATTTCAAAGATTCATGAAGAAAGATGGACAAGATGGGGGTCGACTACTTTACTTTATAAAGAGACACATAGTAGAGGACATCAAAAATATTATAAAATAATAAGACGTACAAAAAGCTAGAGCTCTTGGTTCCCAGATGATACATTTATTAGACCAACTGGGTCTAATTTCCCAGTTGGTCTAATAAATGTATCATTTTGGAACCAAGAGCTCTAGCTTTTTGTATGTCTTCTTGTCTCAGACCAACGCAGCTACCAAGTACACCCCTGACACACAAAATAGTAAGTGAGATAAAGCAGGTGGGAGACTTCTGTTCTTTCACTTGGCTGAAAAAAACAATTTCAAACAAAGGCTTTCCTGGGTGTTTCTGAGATCATCCAAATGCTTTTCTTCCGAGTGGGGAAAAAATGCAGGAAGTGGGTTGGGCATGGGAATTGGTGGAAAGGTTGGAGCGGAAAAAGGAATTTTGATCCATTTTAACTGTGCTGTGTTTATTTTCATAATCCCTGTGAATGGCAGTCCTCATTCCAGGTAAAGAGTCTCTGTGTGTCTGTGTGTGCCTTCAGGCTTTTCAGGTCCTCTTCACTTTTAACGTGCAGAGAAGTCTAATAACCCACTTTCTGCGCAAAAAGGCTGCAGCTGGGATATTTTTAAGGGAAAATCTTTTAGTGGAGATCTTTAAAACAACTGACCCCCACCTCCCCAGTTAAATAATTTTAAACATGTACCCATGCTCTGGACCTGTTCCTGAAAGCTGAAGGTTATGAGTGCTATGATGCCAAGGAAATTAGCAAGACTGATAATTAGCTATAATCGCCGTGTGAGTCATATCATATTCCTTTGAATACAAGACACTCTTCTTAAAACAAAATGCCGCATTTTCTCACATATATTATGAACCTTTCCCACAAAAAAGATCAGACCCTCCTCCCCTTTCCAAAATTGGGGTACATGTCTTAAGTGGGGAAGCTGATTTTTCTGCCTGGAAGAGAGGCAACCCACTTTGATTCCTGCTGCAAAACCAGTGGCATTTCTTTTCAGGCAGCTGAGAGAGTCAGCTG